ATGTATCATTTATATTTTCATTGTAATTTTTATTGTAACATTTCTACAAAGGAAAGGAATCTATTTATACTCTCCCTCTGCTGTCACTCCTTGTTGGTTCCTCTGTCCTCGCTGGTTCCCCGTTGCTGTTGTTGGATGGATGGATGGATGGATGGATGGATGGATGGATGGATGGATGAACTGCAGAAATCACCTCAGCCTTTGGGCGCTCTAAACCACAACCAAACCCTGACAATATCTTTATTAAAAGAAAGTTTATTTTTGCCGGTCCTGTTGCCTGGTCTGGTTGGTAAATGTAAATGTTTATGCCTCTGAGCTTTCTGGTTTAGTTGTTTGGCCTCTGTGTTATTTACAGACACACAATGGGCTCAATAAATAATAGATTAATGCTGAAAACAAATAATATAAATAATATTTATTTAATATTTAATAATTTTTCAGACGGCATCCAGCTGGGTGGCATCATTAATGATGTGATTCCGCTCCAACCTTGAGAATGATTAACTAAGTTGTAGCCAGCAGATGGCTATCTTATTTACATAACAGGTTAATAATCTATCATTAATTTGAGGTAGAATACTTTGTGAGAACACAAAGATAATCTATTTCTCTTCTCTGGATTTTCTTTTTATACTTATATAGCGGGACAAATCTTTTCTTATTCTGGGGCTCCCTTCATTCAAAGGCCTCAGTTAAGCAGTCCATTCTGTTTTTTCTTCAAATATCCTTTTTTGAAACTTGTTCTTTGCAATCTTCTCTCCATAAATGAAACGAAGCAACAAAGGTTCCAACGTTCAGCTGCAGCAGAACCAAACTTTAATCAATCCCCCCCACTTTTTTTTTTTTGTTTCAGTTGGAGGAAAGAGGAAGAACTCTTCCTTTTTCAGGTCAGAGGTGGAAGAAGAACCTCCTAATGATCAGGAATCCCTTCAGAACTTCCACAAGGAAAAGATTCCTGACTGGAGACAGAGTCTCAGCATCACACTGGACCCATTTTCCAGGATTGGATGAGATGTTCTAACCTGGAGGAGCAGCAGGAAGTGTTTGACAGATAGGAGCCGCTTTCAGCATCTCTGTTTGCTTTATAGGCTGGCAGTGTTTACCTAGCCAACACACACACACACACACACACACACACGAACACACACACACACACAGTGAGATCTTTGTTGGAGCTGAACGGGAAGTTATTTGCTGAGTGTGGAAACAGCAGTTACAGGGTTGGATTTAGGAGAACCGGGTTCTATCTGCCTCTCAGATTTAACAGCAAATACATCTTTATAAAGTGCTTTATTTAAAAACTTTAAAAACATAAGTGCTGTAGGAACATAGCAACATTTGTCTTAAGTTCCAAGTCTGCATCAGAACATTTTCAAACTTATGTTTCCAGTTTGCAGGAGAACGTTCCCTTTCTCATGTTCTTAGTCTTCAGGAGAATTGTCCCCGTTTGCATCTGATAGTTCCTCCTCTTATGTTCTTGTTCCTTAATAATCACGACTTTAGAACTTTGGATAAATCTGGAACTACTTTGATTTTCTTAAACGTTTCAAACAGGCAAAATGTAAGGAGGATGTCTGGAAGCAGAACCTTTAAACATCCAGGAGCAGAACATGCACATTATTCAGAAGAAGCTGTGTTAAATTGATGGATCTTTAAATTTAAAAATCCACAAACATCAAACTCAAGAGTAATAAGATCCAAACTACTGCAGCCATCACTGAAAATGTTCTGTCTCCTTCATTCTTCAGTGTCATGAAATAGCAGGAACCTGCTAAGGCTGGTTGGGTTTAAGGGTCCTGAGATGCTGGTCCATTCAGAGATCTGGAAGGAGGAACTAAGAGCTTGAAACATAAACATGATCCCAGAAATCCAGGAGAATACTAAACATGATACAGGTTTCAGATGTTAGAGAACTTATTTTCCAGGACCCTTTGTTTGATTTAAATGCAGGGTTTTATGTTTTTAACATGAGCTTTTTTTCCATTGTTTTGAGGATGTTAGGTTAGAGTATTCCGGACTGTTATTTTCACTTCCCTCTGTCGTTTCAGTAAGAACTTGGAGATCTTCCATGCTTCCTGTGTTCCTCCAGCAACAACCATGGTGCTGACAGCATGGACCACTGGCGCCCCCTGGTGGTAGATATCTGAACACCTGTCTGTAAGTGGAGGAAAATTATGAGTTCATGGAGGGGAAATAGAATGAAAATGGATTTAAATTGGAAATTAAACTATTTAAACTTGGATTGAAATTTGGATGAAAGCTCGGAATGAAACAAAACTGGGAATAAAGCTGGATTTAAAATGGGAATGAGAACTGAAATAAACTGGGAATGTAACTGGCAAGAAAGCTGTAAGTAAACTGGGAATAACATATTACTTTATCTAGGAATAAAGCTAGAATTAAACTGCGAAAGTAATTGGGAAAGAAGCTAGAATTACACAGGGAATAAAGCGGGATTTTTAATTGGGAATGACGATGGAAATACTGGGAGTAGAGCTGCATTTACACTGGGAATGCAGCTGTATTTTAACCTATTTGAACTGGGAATGGAGCTCTTTACTGAGTATGGAGTTGGATTTAAACAGAGTGGGACTATATTTAAACTGGGAATAAAGTGGCATTTAAACTGGGAATTAATCTGGATTAAAGATGGAAATTAATCTGAAATTAAACTGGGAAGGAAACAGGATGACAGCTCGGAATGAAATAAAACTCGGAATGAAGCTGGATTTAAACTGGGAATCAGAACTGAAATAAACTGGGAATGTAACTGGGAAGAAATCTGTAAGTAAACTGGGAATAAATTTATCTAGGAATAAAGCTAGTATTAAACTGGTAAAGTAGTGGGGGGAAAGCTAGAATTACACTGGGAATACAACTGGAATGATGATGGAAATACTGGGAGTAGAGCTGTATTTGCACTGGGAATGGAGCTGCATTTTAACTTATTTAAACTGGTAATGTTTAAATAATAACATACTGAGTATGGAGTTGGATTTAAACAGAGTGGGGGTATATTTAAACTGGGAATAAAGCTCTGTTTACACTGGGAATGGATTTGCATTTAAACTTGGAATAAAGTGACATTTAAACTGGGAATTAATCTGGATTAAAGATGGAAATTAATCTGGAATTAAACTGGGAATAAAACTGGATTAAAACTGGGAATGAAACTGCAATTAAACTGCAAATGATGTGTGAATTACACTGGGAATGTAACTGGGAATAAGTTGCATTTAAACTGGGAATTAATGTGGATTAAAGATGGAAATTAATCTGGAATTAAACTGGGAATAATACTGAATTTAATCAGGGAATCAAGGTCGAATAAAACTGGGAATGCAGCTGGAATTACGCTTTGAATAAAATGAATTTTAATTGGGAATGAAGGTGGAAACAATCTGGGAATGGATGTGTATTTATAATGGAAACAAAGCAGTGGGCGGAAACGTCCTTAAACTGGGAGTTCAGCTGTATTCTGGGGAGTAGAGCTATTTTTAGACTACAAATGGAGCTGTATTATAACTGGGGTTAGTGATGTGTTTAAACTGGGAAAAGAATTGTATTTATACAGGGAACAAGGCAATGTTTAAAAGTAGATCAAAGCTGTATTCATACTGGGAATGGAACTCTACTAAACTGGGAGTGGAGCTGTATTTAAACTGTCTATGAAGATTCCCCGTCATCCAGGTCATGGTCAAGCTATAAAAAAAAGTTTATTAGCAATATTTATGGGGGATGGGGATGTGTTTAAACTGGGAATGAAGCTGAATTTAAACAGTGAATGAGGGCTAAAATAAAATGGGAATATAACTGGGAATAAAGCTAAAATTAAGGGGGAAATAAAACTGAATTTAATCTGCTAATGAAGGCTGAATAAAACAGGATTTAAACTTTTAATAAGCTGCACTTAACCTGGGAATGTAACTGGTAAAGAATTGGGAATTATGCTGGGAATAATACTGGATTTTACCTGGGAATGACAGTGGAAATAAACTTAGAATGTACGTGTATTTAAACTGGTAATGAATCAGTGTTTAAACTGGGATTCAAGCTGCATTTAAACTGGGAATGGAGCTATGTTTAAATGGGGAATGAAACTGGAAAACAAGCTGGGAAAGAAAACCCATTAAACTGGGAATAAAACTGGATTTAAAATGGGAATAAAACTGGAATTACACTGGCAGTAAAACTGGATTCAAACTGGGAATTAAATTGGATTCAAGCTGGGAATCAAACTGGATTTATACTGGGAATGACGGTTTTAAACTGGGAATGAGGGTTGAAAAAACTGGGAATTTAACTGGGAAAGAAGCTGGAATTACACTGGGAACAAATTGGATTTTAACAGAATGAACATGTAAAGCTGCCTGAGACCCAGGTTTCAGATCCCAACGAGATTTACCTGGTTAAATAAAGGGGAAAAAAATAAATGAATAAATAAACTGGGAATGGAAGTGTATTTAAACTGGGAGCCAAGCAGTGTTTAAACTTGGATCGAAGCTGTATTTAAACTGGGGATGAAATTGTACTGAACTGGGAGTGGAACTGTATTTAAACTGAGAATAGAGCTGGATTTAAACTGGAAATAGAGCTGTATTTAAACTGGGCGTGGAGCTGTGATTACTGGGAATGGAGCAGTTTTTAAATTGGGAAAGTAGCTGGAAATAAACGAGGAAAAGAGATGTTGTCATGACTCAGAAATGAGGACCAAGAATTCGAAGCAGACAGATAAAGACAGATGTGATTCACAAAAGCATTTATTAATGTACGTTGGATCTGCAACTCAAACAAAGCAGGATTTAAACTGGGAATGGATCTGTATTTAATCTGGGGATTGAGATGGATTTAAATTTGGGAATGGAGCTGAATTTCAACTGGCATGGGGCGGTATTTAAATTGGAAATATGGATGATTTAAACTGGGAATGTAGCAGTGTTTAAACATGGAATGGAGCTGGAATTGTACTCTGAATAAAACTGCATTTTAACTGGGAACGACAGTGGACATAAACTTTGAGTAGGGCTGCATGTACACTGGGAGTGGAGCTGTATTTAAACTGGGAATGGAACTATGTTTAAACTCGGAATAGTGCTATATTTAAATAGTAAGGTAAACTGAATTTATGATGGAAATGAAACTGGAATTACTGTGAATAAAACAGGATTTTTGATTGGCAATGAACCTGGATTTAAGCAGGGAATAAAACTGGATTCAAGATGGCAATGGAACTGGATTTAAGCAGGGAATGATGCTAAAATCAAACTGGAGATGAGGGTTAATATAAATAAATTAGAATGTTACTGTGAATAAGGCTAAAATTAAACTGGAATGATACTTAATATAACAGGGAATGGATGTGCCATGTTTAAACTAAGAATGGGGCAGGATTTACTCTGGGAATGGGGCTGCATTTAAACTGGGAATGTAGCAGTGTTTAAACGTGGAATGAAGCACTGTTTAAACTGAGAATTGAGCTGTATTTAAACTGGGAATGTAGCAGTGTTTAAACGTGGAATGAAGCACTGTTTAAACTGAGAATTGAGCTGTATTTAAACTGGGAATGGAGTTGTTTTCAAACTAGGACTGCAGCTGAAAACCATGGAAGCAACATAACATCCAGGGAGGAGACACTGTGACTCAGGCTGCAGGAATGAAACCGTTTGTTTGGGATGCCAGCAGGAACACCCTTCCTGCTCAAGGCTCAAACGGTGCAGCCTTCATAATAAAAGCATCAGAATGAGTTCGGGCTTTTGGATCAGGACCTGGTGGAGCTGAGGTCCATTATTTTTCTTTTTAATTCCCTTTAAAAATAGTTTTCTCTTCTTTCTTATCGTTCTTGTTGTCGGACTATTTTATGACTGAAAGTGGTTTCTGCAGGTCTCTAATTCAGATCTCCGGTAATCTGATAGTTCTGTCCTATCCGCATAAAGGTGAGGTTAGTTCTTGTTTTGAAGGTGGGGCTGAGGTCTCACCTGGCAGCAGCTCTGATGCAGAGCCCCGCCCTCCTGCTTTAACTCACCTGTAACCTGAGCGGCCTCTCCTACAGCCGCTGCACCATGTCGGGCATCGCGGCCACCCTGCAGCACCAGCGGAACCAGGCCCAGGGAATCGGAACCAACAGCCATGCTGTCAAGTACCTGAACCAGGATTACGAGGTTCTGAAGCAGCGCTGCTTAGAGACTGGCCAGCTGTTCCAAGATGACACCTTCCCGGCTCTGGTCTCCTCTCTGGGCTTCAATGAACTGGGCCCGAAATCTTACAAGGTCCGGGGGGTGTCCTGGAAGCGACCCACGGTGAGTTCACATTAAGTTCTGTTTGTTTTCACACCTTTTGATCTGAGGAGACCTTCAGGTGTAGGTTTTGATGTCAGCTCTGCTCCTATTGGCTGATAATCAATTTAACCTTTGATTTGATTGGCTGACTGTAGATCAGAAATGTGACATTAAACACTTTAATGTCACATTAAGCATGCAGTCAGGTCA